TGGGCTTTACATCTAACCATCTTATTGGAGAGATTTGATCCTTTGGTGTTCTTTACACTGGAGTTCTAAGGGATTCTTGGTCCATAAATTATTGTTTTCTGCTGCTATTTATTTCCTTTGGATGGAGAGAAACAATAGAGCTTTCAGGAACTCATCCTCATCCCCAAACACTATCATCTGTCAGATTAAGAAAAGCATCAGGGGGGAGGCTGGCTTTAATCAAGCTGAAGAAGACATCTGACCTGGGAAATCTTAACAGGCTTAAGGACCTGCAGAAACTTTTCATGGAGGGTTGCAGCTTGGCCTATGCCCAGGCTCTTATTGTTGATTAATTTGTTTTGCCTTTAGTTTGGTTTTCTCTGGTTATTCCTTTCAACGGATCAGTCCAGGTTAGCTGTTGCTGTTATAAGCTGGGGTCTAGATTGTTGTGTGTCAAAATCTTCGTATGGATTACCACTTGATGAGCTGCCATTTGCTTAGCTACTGTTGTAAGTGTGGTCTAGATTGGTCTACATTGTTGTATTTTTCCTTCCAAGCTTTTGCTTTGTTAGCTTTGGTTTTGTTTATGCATGTTGCACTTTGTTGTCCCCAGACTTTGGGGCTGTTATGTACATTCTTTTCATCTTATAAAAGCTTACTTTAACTATAAAAAATAAAAAAATAAAACAAAAAAAACTTATGTTTATATTTTAATTTGTAACTTTTAATTGATACTTTATATTTATATTTTAATTGTTAACTTCTAATTGATAAATATGTTTGTATTTTTATTAGTAACTTATTTTATTATTTGTATTTTTTAATTGGTACTTTATGTTTATATTTTAATTGATAAATTATGTTCTCTATTTTTATTGGTCATTTATTTTATTATTTATCTATTTTTGAATGATTTATTTATAGATAATGATGATTTGAATATTTTTATTGGTAACTTATGTTTATATTTTAATTTTTAACTTTTAATTGGTAATTTATGTTTATAATTTTAATTGTTAACTTTTAATTTGTAAATTACGATTGTATTTTTTATTGGTAACGTATTTTATTATTTGTAATTTTGATCGGTAACTTATGTTTATATTTTAATTGGTAAATTATGTTCGTATTTTTACTGGTCATTTATTTTATTATTTATTGATTTTTAATGATTTATTTATAGATAATGATGATTTGAAATTCCTAACACCCTTTGTATTTTTAATATTAGTATAGATATAGATAGATATATTTTAATTGGTAACTTTTAATTGGTAAATTTTGTTTGTATTTTTACTGATAATCTTATGTTTGTATTTTAATTGGTAACTTCTATTTATATTTTAATTTGTTACTTTTAATGGGTAACTTGTGTTTATATTTTAATTGTTAACTTTTAATTGGTAACTTATGTTTGTATTTTTATTGGTAAATTATTTTATTATTTGTAATTTTTAATTGGTGACTTATGTTTATATTTTAATTGGTAAATTATGTTCGTTTTTTTACTAGTCATTTATTTTATTATTTATCTATTTTTAATAAATTATTTTATAGATAATGATGATTTGAAATTCTTGACACTCTTTGTACATTTAATAATAGTATATATAAATTGGTAATTTATGTTTATATTTTAATTGATAAATTATGTTCGTACTTTTAGTGGTCATTTATTTTATGATTTATCTATTTTTAATGAAACAACCCTAAACTTCCTCAGACACCCTTGTACTTTTAATAATAGTAGAGATAAGGTCATCTTATTTATCAGACACCCCTTGTACTTTTAATAATAGTATAAATAAGGTAGATATATTTTAATTGGTAAATTATGTTCGTATTTTTAGTGGTTATTTATTTTATTACTTATCTATTTTTAATTATTTTTTTATAGATAATGATGATTTGAAATTCTTGACACTCCTCCCCTTGTACTATTAATAATAGTATAAATAAAGTAGATATATTTTAATTTTAATTGGTAAATTATATAGATATAGATATAAATATAGACATAATTAAACAACTAATCTTTCTTTTTCATTTTTCAATTGTCCCCATTGATTTTTTTTTTTTTTTTTTTTTTTTTTTCTTTCTTAATTTATTTATTTATTTATTTTTCTTGAAACTACTTTTGAAACATTTTTCATTACCTTTCTTACAACTCCTCCTTCAATCCATAATCCATATACGTATATGTGTGTATATATATATAAACAAGTAACCTTAAATATTTTCCTTCCATTACTTTTTCCTTTTTTTTTTTTTTTCAATTCTTATTTCCTATTTTGTAAGAACATTAAGAACCTAATATGTTTAAGATAAAACTATCCCTTTAAACCTTCCTTCCCTCTCATCTTCTCATCTGTGCACACGCGCGCATGAATCCATATGGAGCATATATATATATATATATATATATATATATATATATATATAAAGAGCTAATGGTGAAAATTGAAATGAAAAAAAAGAAAAAAGAAAAGAAGGTAAAAAAATGGCTAATGGCGACAATTTAGAAAAAAAAAAAAAAAAAAAAAAAAAAAAAAAAAAAAAAGGAAATAAAAGAAGGGAAATAATGGCGAAAATTGAAAAAATAAAGAAATAATTGAAGGATAAAATTTAAGGTTACTTGTTTATATATATATATATATATATATATATATATATATATATATATATATATGGATTTAAGGAGGAGTTGTAAGAAATGTCATGAAAAATGTTTAAATTTGTTATTTGAAAAAATTTAGTTCAAATCAAAGTTTTCATTATTCCCGACTTACCATAAGGTTTCAATATTTTTAGAATTTAAAAGGAAGAATATTAATAGAACAACAATTTTGGGATGAAATTTTGAGAAATGAAAATCAAAAGAATCTAAAAAAACTGGCAATCAAGCCATTATGAAATAGGGTAAGTGTAAAAAAAACTCCTAGCTATGTGGTATAAAACCTCCATATACTATCAATTTGGTGCAAATACCCCGCTTGTTTGCATAAAAAAACTATGATACCCTCTTGTCAATGAATTATGTTTAGTTTTCCTATTAATCAAAGCAGTGTGATACAATAACATGGGGACCAATTTTTTTTTAATGAAAAATAATAGAGCTATATATATATATATTATACTTTGTTTCATCATAGACCCAAAAAAACAAAAACTAAAGAACATATTTGAAAAAGTAAAAGTAAATGATTTTATATGTATAATTGAAAAATTAGAAATTTCTTACCAAAATTTATTATGAAGAATAAACGAATAATTTGAAAGCATTATATAAACTATGAAATTATATATGTATAGTATTCATATAGTTTCATACCTAAAGAAATAAATATTTATATTTAATATGATTGGTACTAAAAGCAAAATTGTATAATATTCATATAATCTGTGACTTACAAAAATAAATATTTACACTTAATATGTTTCATACTAACACCAAAACGGTAAAACATTCATATAATCTTTGACCTAAAGAAATAAATATTTGCATTTAATATGATTAATACTAAAAGTAAAAGAAAACATATTCTTTGATCTTGGTGATATGAGAAAAGGGCAAATTAAGATTTTTAAATTTACTTTATGTCAATTTTGACCAAAAAATGGTTAGAGGGTCTTATTTGCACCTTTTTGAATTTTATGGACTAAAATATATTTTTTTCAAAAAGGAAGGATATATTATGCACATAACCTATATTACATGGGAGTTTTCTACACATAAATCCTTATGAAATACTATTCCACTTTTTCAAATAATATATTTTCTCCTTTATCTACAGAATTCTAAAAAGGAAACAAAGAAGCATAATGTATGCGACATAAAGAAATAAATATTTGCATTTAAAAGTAAAAGAAAACATATTCTTTGATTTTGGTGATATGAGAAAAGGGAAAATTAGGATTTTTTCAATTTTGATCAAAAAGTGGTTAGAGGGACTTTGCATCTTTTTTGAATTTTATGGATTGAAATATACCTTTTCAAAAAGAAGGAATGCATTGTGTACATAATCTATATTATATGGAAGTTTTCTGCACTTAACCCTTACGAAATACTATTCTACTTTTTCAAATAATATAATTTCTCCTTTATCTACAAAATTCTAAAAAGGAAACAAAGAAGCAGAATGTTTGCGACTAAATCCTAGCATGTTATGATTACGGAAAGGACGATTCTACTATCAGATTTCTATTTTTAAAAAAACAAAATTTGAACCAAGAATAAGGATTTCTTGGGTGCTACGGTAAAAAATCTTATGGATGGTTAAATGAAAAAGGTAACGGAATATGCCATTATTTTCTTACCATTTTCAATTGTTAATGACCTAATTTACCATTATTGTGTGTTACAGTTTTTTCCCTCCTCTATAAATTCACAGCCCAGACTTTCATTCAATCCGCATTACTATTACCATTATAATCTTCTTAGTCTTTACACATCTATCTTTTCTTGTGAGTATAATATAATTTTTCCTTTTCCTTTCCTTTTCCTTTTCCTTTATATTCTTCTTGTTCACAAATTTTTGATAACCTTTGTATACTTACTGTTTGTAGTGTGTTGTATTGTGTTGCATGGAAGGTCTTTTGTTGGAAAATATGGCTCAATGTGTTTTGACTGCTGATCTTCATGGCCTTAAGGAGCGTTTGGAGCATGTTATAACATCTCATCCGGAAAAATTACTCCAACTCACATCTTGGTATTGTTATTATATATTACTTTCTTTTTTTAATGTGATATTTTTATGTTTGCTTAATTTATAACATTTAAGATTTAATCTTATAACATTTAAGATTTCATTTATCTATTTACAAGTAGAACTATACTTTCATTAGTGTCAGTGTAATTTCCTTCTAGGAAATTTTATAAAATAACCAAATTACCCTAAACTCACTCCCCCCCTTCCTTTTTCGATTCCTGTCTCACACACAATTTTTTTTAAAAAAACACATATTCATTTATATATATATATATATATATGTCAGAATTTTATTTAAACCCAGATACAACACCACTCCCACCATCGCCCACCTCTACTACTTCCTCCACACCACCGTCGCCCACCTCTACCTCCTCTCCATTGATGCCGCACCACTCCATCGCCGCCATTACGATTCCTCACTCTTGAAACCCTAATCTTAGTACTAATTGACCCTTTAATTTATCCTAAATCCATGGGTTTTTCATTCCAATCAACATACCCTATCAAAATTCTCAAAATATTTCATCATTGGTTACGGAGATTATAGCGTCCAGCTCGCTCTGGCTGTAACTTCGATACAGCCATTGTAAGAAATTAAAGCAATTACACTCCAACTAAACTAGTGACATGAAAATTAAGCTAATTAAACTAAAGATGTGGCGGCCAAAGTTGAACCGGTTCAGCATTCTTTGAATCGATTCAAGTGTAGCAGAACGTTGCAGAAGTTTTGGGCAATAAAGTTGAACCGGTTCAAGAATCTGGAGTTTGAATAGATCTCCATTGCTTTGATTTCGCCTGGTTATGATTTGTGACAGTATGTTCTCTTTCCCGATGATTTTGTAAATCAGGATGCAAAGCCAAGGAAAAGTGATCTTAAAAAACGCTGAAATCTTGAACCATTTTGTATCTATTTACAAAGCGGATGGAGAGAAGCTTATCAATGGCCAATTTGGACTTGTCTTAGAATCCATTCAGGTAAGCAGGTTTCTAATACTAGAAAAATTAATAATTTTTATTTCTTAAGTTGTGACTTTTAAGTATATTTTTTTGTGTATTATCATGAATTATAGGAAGCCATAGTGATTGCTCCTCGAATTGCACTTGCTGTCCGACCAAGGCCCGGATTCTCAGAATATATATGTCTGAATCTAAATGAACTCACTGTTGAAGAAATGAGTGTGCCCCAATATCTGCAGTTGAAGGAAAAAGTCGTTGATGGATGGTAATTACTTTACCCTTTGTTGATTCATGCACTAATTTTTAAATTAGTTTCACTGATTGTTGCCGTGCACCTTTGAGTTTGAATTTACTTTACCCTTTGTTGATTCATGCACTAATTTAAATTAGTGTCACTGATTCTTGCAGTAGCAATGGCACCTTTGAGTTTGAATTGGACTTTGAGTCATTCAATGCATCGATTCCTCACCCAAAGCTTTCAAAATCTATTGGACATGGTGTGGAGAATCTTAACCGCCACCTATCTTCAAAAATGTTCCATGACAAAGATATGAAGCAGCAACTGCTTGATTTTCTTCGTCTTCATAACTATATGGGCAAGGTAAATTTTGATTGTGGTCCTAATAATTTATGAGTACTCTTTTTTTTTTTTTTTTTCATTAAATCATACACTATAAAGTTTTGTGTCTTGTGTGTCTTCTAGATTGAAACTGAATGTATCTAAAATGAATGTTATACTTTGATGTTATTGTGCAGTCACTCATGGTGAATGATAGAATTCAGAACTTGGACCAACTTCAATCTGTTGTCAGAGAGGCAGTGGATTATCTGTCTACCCTGCCTTTGGATACCCCATTTTCTGATTTTGAAGATAGATTCCAAGTGATTGGTCTGGAAAGGGGTTGGGGTAATAGTGCTGAATCAGTGTCAGACATGCTTAATCTGCTCTTACAACTCCTGGAGGCTCCTGACCATTGTGTTGTCGAGAAATTTCTCGGCACAGTCCCTACGGTTTTCAATGTTGTTATTCTCTCTCCCCATGGTTACTTTGCTCAAGACAATGTCTTGGGCTATCCTGATACTGGTGGCCAGGTATGTTAAAAGATTGATGATCAAAATTTTTGTTTGTACCTTACATTGTTGTTTCAGACTCTCTAAATTTTTTACTTTGCCTCACAGGTTGTTTACATTTTGGATCAAGTTCCTGCCATGGAGCGTGAGATGCTTCAACGGATGAAAAAGCAAGGACTTGATGATATCATCCCTAGGATTATCATTGTTAGTATTTAAGTTTTCTTTATGTTTCTTTTATCATAGGTTTGTGATCCATTTGTTTTTTTTGTTTTAGTGCTAATGCCTGATATTCCGTCATAGGTCACTCGCCTTCTTCCAGATGCAGTTGGCACCACGTGCAATCAACGCATTGAGAAAGTCTATGGAACAGAGCATTCATACATTCTGCGAGTTCCCTTTAGAACTGAGGAGGGAATTCTTCGCAAGTGGATCTCACGTTTTGAAGTGTGGCCATATATGGAGACTTTCACTGAGGATGTTGCAAATGAAATTCTTGGAGAGTTGCAGACAAAGCCAGACTTGATCATTGGCAACTATAGCGAGGGAAACCTTGTTGCCACCTTGCTAGCTCACAAATTTGGGTCAACGCAGGTACATTATTTTCTTTTAAAATATTCAATCATTTGCAACCATGTGATGTGGACCAAATATGTGTTACTTATATGAATATTCGACCTTTGCAGTGTACCATTGCTCATGCTTTGGAGAAAACTAAATATCCAAATTCTGATGTCTATTGGAAGAAATTTGAGGAGAAGTATCATTTCTCCTCCCAGTTTACTGCTGATCTTATTGCAATGAATCATACTGATTTCATTGTCACTAGCACTTTCCAGGAGATTGCTGGAAGGTCCCATTAATTCTTGTTAATCAGCAAATTATGTATATAATTAATTTGTTTTTCAATTATTTATTTTATAATGAGACCCCCTAAACTATTATTCTTATCTTTCCAGTAAGAACTCTCTTGGACAGTATGAAAGTCATACAGCCTTTACCATGCCCGGATTGTACCGAGTTGTCCATGGGATTGATGTGTTCGACCCCAAATTCAACATTGTTGCACCAGGGGCTGATATGTCCCTCCACTTCTCTTACTCAGAGAAGAGTAAAAGACTTGTCAATTTCCACCCTGAAATTGAGGAGCTGCTATTTAGTGCTGTTGAGAATGAAGAACATTTGTAAGTTTCTTTCTCTTTGCTATGTCATGTCCTTTTTTCAGTTGACTAATAATGATCACTGAAACATTAATGGTGGTGTATGCAGATGTGTATTGAAAGATAAGAGCAAGCCCATTCTATTCACAATGGCAAGGTTGGATCGCATTAAGAACTTGACTGGACTTGTTGAGATGTATGGTAAGAGTGCTCAGCTTAGGGAGTTGGTGAACCTGGTTGTTGTAGGAGGAGATCGTAGGAAGCAGTCGAAGGACTTGGAAGAGCAAGCAGAGATGAAGAAGATGTATGAGCTCATAGATACATACAAGTTGAATGGTCAATTCAGATGGATTTCTTCCCAGATGAACCGGGAGAGGAATGGTGAACTGTACCGATACATTGCAGACAAGAGGGGAGCTTTCGTGCAGCCTGCTTTCTATGAGGCTTTCGGGCTGACAGTGGTGGAGGCCATGACCTGTGGCTTACCTACATTTGCTACATTGCATGGCGGTCCAGCTGAGATAATTGTTCATGGAAAGTCTGGCTTCCACATTGATCCATACCATGGTGATGAGGTTGCTCAAGTGCTAGTTAATTTCTTTGAAAAGTGCAGGGATGACCCTACTCATTGGGAAGCTATTGCTGTTGGAGGCCTTAAGCGCATTCTTGAGAAGTAAGTATATATGCCATCCTTTATTTTGTTCATGAATTTTTTATTTTTCCTGATTACTTATAAATCTCTGTTTTTGTAGATTTACATGGCAAATTTACTCTGAGACGGTGATCAATTTGGCTGGGGTTTATGGATTTTGGAAGCATGCGTCTAAAAAAGATGAACGTGTGATTGAGAAACGTCGCTACATCGAAATGTTTTATGCCCTGATGTACCGTAAGTCGGTAAGCCCCTTCAGCCATGACCTACTAATTTTATTTTCGAAAATTTCTTGAACTTTATTCTTATCTTCCTGAATTTTTATTTCAGGCCGAGTCTGTTCCGTTGGCACTTGATGAGTAGATAAAAGAAAGAACAGTTGGAAGTTGATTAGGAGAGATAAAAAGAACGGGATTTTATTGGACGCCCTCAATTTTCCTTTTGGTTTTTTCTTTTTTAATTTTCTCAAGAAATTTGTTTTGAATAGACTGATAGGTAGAAAAGTTATTTGTAGTGAATTTGGTATTCATTGATGGTTTTAGCCATTTTTATCCTAGTAGGGAAAATTAATAAATGTATGGCATTTGCTATTCCGGTGATAATAAATATCTAAGTTACTCATGTTTTGTTTGTTTGTGTAGATTGAATATTTCATTTATATATATATATATACATATATATGTATCTACCAACCGTTATGCAATTCAATATGGTCTTTCTATACACTGATCTAAATCTATTTAGGCTGACTGCATTTTTTGGCGCTCATTCTTTTCATATGAATTTTTTTTCACGAATTCAAGAGTGCAAACGCATAGCAATTGGCAAATCACTCCACAAAACAGCTTAAATTTTAATTGGAATCTTATATAGTATCTAAGTTACGCATGTCTTGTTCATTTATAAAGTTTTTTTTATACATATTTTTCACTACGGCAACCCGAATATATATATATATATGTGCAAATGGTTAAAGTAGTATTTTTATTATTATTATTATTTTTTTTTTCAAATTTTGGAAATTGACTTCAATGCTTGATGCTTTTGTGGCCTGATGAAAATGGGTTTAGTTTGATTTGAATCTTATATTTTGATTTCTGGATTATTTTGCTACACTTAAAGTTTTTGCATTTCTTGATTTTTGCATTAAAACGGAAGGAAAACATCATTTTACTAATAAGAAAATAGGGAGGAAACTATTGTTTTCAATTAAGCTCCTAGCATTCTTTTCATATGGGTGCAACAGTGACTTAAATTTGTATAAAATTTTATGCATAATCAGACCAATTACTCAGTCACATACACAAGCTTACCCTAAATCCAGGATCTGGACTGTGCTTCTAAAATATCTTTTTGCTGGAATATGTTGCAACAGAAGGATTCTAAAATATCTCTTTGTTGGGATATGTTGCTGTTGGCCTAAGAATTTTAACTAAAGGTCAATCTTATGTTTTGATGATTTCAAACCATTAATGATGTTTAAGTACTAATGTTTTCATTGAGTGATATATAGTTGATCAACATTCAATCCTCAATGATGAGCTAGAAGATCCATTCCAAGCATTCCAAAACATTCCAAACATTCAAACAATGGATTCAAGGAAGTATCAAAGTTGCAAGAAATAAAAAAAAAACTCGGACTTCAAAGATCACACAAAGCATTTCAAAGAAAGAAAACAAGTCTTCATCAAACCTAAACGATCATGGTCAAAGAATAAAGAAAAGGGTATATATGATGGTGAGAGCTTAAGATTCAATATCAAAGTCTTTATGAATACATTTGAAGCTCAAAATCATAGAACCATGCATATCATACATCATTCATATGCTCCTATGTCCATTAGCAATAGACTATGCACTTCATTCATATATATTGACATATGAAATCTTTGCTAAGAAAGAGTTAGTTCAAGCTTAATAAGCTTTGAAAGAACTCATTACTTAAGTTAGAAATTCTAGGACCATGCACATTAATCATTATATTTATTTTGGTCCCTAGAAAGTAAAGGAAAAGGCATTGAAATTAATTTATCATCTTTAAAGCCTTTGTTTCCAAAATTTGGTAAATGACTGTAGGACACAATGCACTTAAAATTTATCATCTTCATATGTCCCTAGACTCTTAGAAACAGGCCTTGAACTAAATTGAATCATTCATCAAAGTCCTAGGTGCTAGAAAGATGGATATCTCAAAAGAAGCAATTTTTAGCCTAGAAAAATTTCAGACCAGCTTGCACTAAAACTGCTATAACTATTTGTGTAGTTGGAATTTTTACACAAGGCTAGTGGCATTGGAAAGCTGACTTCGAGCCCTTGAGTTTAGACTCAAATTTCACCTAAATTGGATTAAAAATGACTGAGATATGAGCTTCACAAAATACCTGATTCTGCTCTGCGAAAATTTTGACCACGTTGCACTTAAACAGCCATAACTTTTTCTGTGGTTGGAATTTTTGAGCAAGGCAGGTGGCTTTAGATAGCTGACTTCAAGAAAATAAATTTAGACTCAAATTTCACCTCATTTGGAGTTTCATTGGCTGAGTTATGTCCATTTGAAGTCATGCACTTTTTTCTGTCCAATCCAATTTAGCAGCAGCCTTCATGAAGCAAGAGCAGCCTCTATAAGAAATAGAGCCAGCTCTCTCAAGGCCAATGGAGCAGGCTCAATGAAAAATTAGAGAAGGCTCAAAGAATAGAGAAGGCTCAATGAAAAATTAGAGAAGGCTCAAAGAATAGAGAAGGCTCAATGAAAAATTAGAGAAGGCTCAAAGAATAGAGAAGGCTCAATGAAAAACTAGAGAAGGCTCTACAAAATTATATACGGCTCAGGAAAGTAAAGAAGGCCCTACAAAACTAGAGAAGGCTCCATTTTTTTATTGAGCCGCCTCCATTTTAGAAAAAGAGCCTGCTCCACTTTTTTAATGGAGCCGCCTCCATTTGAAATTGAGCCGCCTCCACTTTTGCAAAGAGCCGGCTCCTTTGAGGGTTTTGAATTTCAACGGCAATTTTTCTGCATTTAATTCCTCTAACCACTTCTAACAGCTATATTGAGCTACGAATTTCTTTATATATACAGAGGGCTTGTCTGTAAAGAAAATACAGTATTTTAAGAGACATTATATTACATTGCAAAGAGAGCTTTTGTTTTCAATCTTCTCTTCATCTCTCTCATTCACTCTTATTCCATCTTGAGAGATTCCAGTAAAGATTAATAGGGCTTTTGCTCTTGTTTTAATCTTCATAGAGTTTTTGCTCTATTATACACTTGAGAGATTCTATTGAATTCATATGAGCTTATTTTCTTCACATATTTCATCTTCTCTCATTCATTTCATTCATAAAGTTTGAGCTTCATTTATATTCATCAATACTCTAGTTGTGAGCTAAAAATTGTACTACTATCTTTGAGAGATTCATTGTACACTTTATTTCTATTACAAGTTATTGTAAAGGGTTGGTGTGACCCAAAAAGGAAGCCTAGGAGAAGGGTGTTCTCCTAGCAAGAAAGAGAAGCAATGTCTTGCTTCAATTGAAGGTTTGCTCTCCACCATTAAGGAGAAGCTCTAAGGAATTTGGGAAGTCTCAAGATGGATCTTGAGCCGAGGAGTAGGAGTTTCCGAACCTCGCAAAAATTGCCGTGTTATTGTTTGCAATTTCACTTCCCTTATCTCTTTTACAACTGTGCTAAATTGATTACTTTCATATCTTGATTATTGCATAATTGGTTATATTATTGATTAGAAATTGTATTTCTATAATTTGCGAAAATTGGCCATTGACTCTATTCACCCCCCCTCTAGAGTCAATTCTTGGGTAATAGTTGCAACAGAAGGACAAACTATGGGTGCAGTGGTTCATTCTAAATATTTGGCCAAGGCTTCTTTCTGGATTGTGATCCCTAAGGCTATTGATTCACCTATGTGGAAACATATGATTATGTTAAATAGAGATAATACATAAAGGTCCTATATGTAGAAACAAGTTTGAGTTAGGTGAGTGATGAACAAGTAACCTATATATATGATAATCCTATACAATATATCCTAACATACAATATATTGGTCAACTATCTTAATTAATTACCAAATCAATTTAGGAGAATTTACAAAAATATATTTAGAAATACAGCTCATGCTACACTCCCCCTCAAATTAGAGCATAGATATCTATCAGGCCCAACTTGCTAGTTATACCATGGAACGCCCTTCTTGAAACTGCCTTCGTGAGTACGTTAGCCAACTAATCTTCAGACCGAACAAATGGAAATTGTATAACTTTTCGATCAAGATTCTCTTTAATAAAATGACGATCAACTTCAACATGTTTTGTACGATCATGTTGAACCGGATTATGTGCAATTTCAATGGCTGCCTTATTATCACAATGTAGACTCGTCGGTTTCTCATAATCAATCCCCAAATCTTGTAATACATGTTTGACCCATAGCAATCCACACACACCATGAGCCATATCTCGAAATTCAGCTTCTGCACTTGATCTAGAAATCACCTTTTGCTTCTTGCTTCTCCAAGTGACAAGATTACCTTCCGCAAAAGTTTAGTAACTTGATGTGGACCTCCTATCAGTCTAACTCCTTACCCAATCAGAATCTGTATATCCTTCAATTCCATGGACCCCATTATTAAAGAATCGCAATCTTCTTCCTGGTGCACTCTTCAAATACTTCAAGGTCAGATACACTGCATTCATGTGTTCTTTACTCAGTGCATGCATGAACTGGCTCACCACACTTACTGTATAGGCTATGTCCAGCCTTGTGTGTGACAAATAGATTAGTCTCCCAACTAACCGTTGATAACGTCCCTTGTCAGTTGGGACCTGATCCACAGACTCTCCAAGCTTGTGATCCATTTCCATTTGTGTCTCTACATGTTTGCAGGCTAACATTCCAGTCTCAGTTAAAAGATCTAGCACATATTTCCATTGTGATAGGGAAATTCCAGCCTTTGACCTTCAAACCTCAATTCCTAAGAAGTACTTGAGTTGATCAAGATCTTTTTATTTCAAATTTTGCTGCCAGGTACTCTTGTAATTCTTTTCTCTCACCTGGATCATCTCCTGTCAAGACCATATCATCTACATATACAATCAATGCCGTTACCTCCCCTTATTTGTGTTTCATAAACAAAGTTTGATCTGAATTATTTTTCTTATAGCCAAATTCCTTCATTGTGGAGGAGAACCTTCCGAACCAAGCCCAGGGTGACTGCTTTAGACCATATAACGCCTTCTTCAATTTACATACTTCAGTTCTACACGAGGATTTGCGTTTAGCTCCAGGGGGTAAGTCCATGTAGACTTCTTCCTCTAAATCTCCATTGAGGAAAGCATTCTTGACGTTGAATTGTTACAAAGGTCAATCTCGATTTGCTGCTATAGATATATGCATGCGGATGGTATTAATTTTGGTAACCAGAGCAAAAGTCTCTTGATAATCCATTCCGTACTTTTATATATATCCTTTCGCAACTAACCTCGCTTTGTACCTATCAATACTGCCATCAGCTTTGAGTTTCACTATGAACACCCATCTACACCTAATCGTCTTCTTCCATTTGGGTAATGGACAAAGTTCCCAAGTGTTATTCCTCTGAAGAG